CCTCGCTGTCTATTTCCATTGCCATGTCCACCCATCCTTCCAGAATACGCATCTCTTGTTGCTCTTCGAGGGCTCGCAGCTGCCTCCTCCGGTGCGACACTTCCTCCTCTTCTTGGTATATCTCACTGATCTCAATTCCCCGCTGGAGCTCCTTCCGCTTCAGCTGCATGCGAATCGTCTCTACCAGCCAAGTCATGACGTTCAGGTCCATCGCCCGTCCCAAGGCCGCTCGCCTCTGCGCCTCCGTGACTCTTGGGTGCGCCGTAGCTCCTAGCATGTGCCCCATGGCTAGCTCCCTCTCTTCTGCTGTCGGCTGCTCCCATTCCTTATTAATGACGTCGTATATCATCCCCGGCCCAGGCAGGTCCCCTTCCATCACGAACCCGTATGCATCCACGTACGAGACGAGGGTCGGCAGCGCCTGCCTTGGTTTTCCAGGCACGTTGCACTGGTACTGGGACGGATGGTCTGGCACCGTGACTGGGGCTGGCAAGCGGTTGGGGCCTAGGATGTCACTGACCAGTCTCGGTTCTGGCCTCTGCATCTGGGCCAAGGAGTGCCTTAAACTGGCGTCGGAGATCCCATTCGGCCAGTACCTGCGTGGCCGATGTGCCCGTGAGCCCAGCTGTGCCGCGTCTACTGCCTGTCCCCTTCCCACCGCTTCTTCCACCTCCGCGAACGCTCTCCGCACTGGTTCCCGTCGCTCATCCGCGAAGTCTACGTTCTCCAGGATGTACATCACCTCCCCCTGCCTTGCCTGTACCAACTCTAGGACCCTCCTCAAGTCTCTGAAGGAAGCCCCGCGGATGTCTTGCATCCCCATGCCTTCTCCCGCGCGGGAATATCCTTGGCATTCCCATCCGGCCACGATAAGGTCTACTTGCCCCCACTGCTCTAAGGTAGCCTCGCTGATCTCCCGCACCTCATCCACCCTTTCTTCGGCCTCCTCCGGTAGTGCCGACTCCGCCATCTGATCTGGGTATTCCGCTAGCAGGAGTCGTGCATGATGCTGGGCCATGCGTCGCGCCACGGGGTCCCGCTCGACGTGGATCCACTTCCTCACCCTGCAGCCAGCTTGCAGCGCCGCGGCCAGTCCCGTGCCGATGCCTCCGTATAACTCCACGATGCAGATAGCTCCGTCCAGGGTCCACAACCGCGACACCCTTTCCTTCAGGGACGCCGGCTCTCTCCCTTGGTGCCTCCTCTCTACCCGCCGTTCGTACTCCTCCGCGTACCGCTCCCAACTCCAGTCGTCTAGGACCGGCCCCAAGTCCGCGGCTCGGGCCCCGTACGCTTCTCTCGGCTCTTGTTTGACGAACTTCGCTGGCAGCGTCCCCACAGAGCTCTCGGGGTCCCAGTAATGGACTCGGTATAGTACTTTCTCTTGCCAAGTGCAGATGGTGGCCCCCACCCGATACAATAGGTCCATGCCGAGGAGCGCGTCATAGTCTTCGGATTCCGAGACTCCGCAGGTCACGCGGATGCAGCATTCCTTGTCCGTCCCTGGAAGCAACACGATCTCGATGGGCCGCACTGTCCGCGGCATCCACTTCGGCTCTCCCCCTTCCGCAGTCATGAGAAGAATGCCCCGCTGCACGAGCCTCCCGGGTAAGTCTAGCTTCAGTTGCTTTGCCAACCCTTTGCCAATCAACACATAGTGAGCACCTGTGTCTACGATCGCCTGCCCCACTGGAAGCCCTCCCATCGTTAGGCTCCCTTTTTCTGCTACCACGACCGAGGCCTGGCACACCTGCCGTTCGTTGGGGTGGCGCCTCAGCTCGGAAGTACTACTCCCTTCCTGCTGATTCCCTCGAGGCTCCCGCACCCGGCTCGTGCGGCTTTCGGAGGACTGACTCCCTCTCATTCTGAGCTCCAAATCGTCCCTGTCTCGCGGAAACGCCATAAATCCGCCCGTCCGCAGATACTCCCCTTCACTCTCCTCTTCCCCTTCGACCTCTTCATACGCTAGCATGGCCCGAGCCTTCAGCTCCGGCTGCGGCTTCTGCCCTAGTCTCAGCTGCAGCCGTTTGATCTCCGCCTGTAGCTCTTCCTTGCTGGCCGTATCTTCGAGGCGACGCCGGCTATAACACGCGTCTTCTTTGTGTCCCCTCTTCCCGCAATTCTCGCAGGCGGGTAACCTAGGGCACTCGCGCTTCAGGTGACCGGGTTCCCCGCATTCGTGACAGCGGCGAGCGTCGCTCCGTGACGCGCCTCCCGTTGGCGTCTCTGCTATCGCTGCCGCTGCCCATGCCGACTTTGGTTTAGGCCGTGCGTCGCTGTCTTCCAGATCTAGCATCCGTTGTGCGTGCTCCGTGCGCTTCGCTAATCCGTAAACCTCTTTCAGGGTGATATCTGCCCCCACTCCGTAGACGGTGTTCCGCACCACGCTCCGGAGTTCCTCGTCCAAACCCCGTACGAACTTCCGGACCAGCAACCGTTCGTCTCGACTTTCCAAATCTTCCGCCAGTTCCCTTAGCCGGCAGTAGTATGCGAGCAGAGATTCATCTTTTCCCCGCCGAAACTCCCGAAACTCCTCCACCCGCGCCTTAGTTTGCCCCAGGAACTCCTTCTTCAAAAGTTCGACGAACCGCGCCGTTGGATTCTCGATTTCTCCATAGGCCAGCTCGTCGAGTACGTCTTGACGCGTCATACGGTAAAATGTCTTGGCCTCTCCGGCCAGCGTAACCACCATCCGCCTGAAGAACTCCGCCGGATCCAGTCCATCCCGTTCCCAGCAATACTGCACGGTCTCTAACTGCATCAGATAGTTCTTCAACGTGGGTCCCACTCCCGGCGTCCCCGTAAATCGGTCCGCGACCTCCAGTTTCGGCGGGGCTCCCAACGTCTTCCGATGGTCGGGGCTCTGGTCGGGCGCACTGATTGGCTCAAGCCGTTCCGTCGCTTGGCTCGGAATCAGCTCACGATGTCTCGGAGTGCGCAGTTCTCCTTCCTGCTGGCGTCGCAGCCAAGCTGCCGGTACTGGAGTACGGTCCGTTTCCATCCCTGGCATTCTCCCTGGTGACGTGGTAGCGGGACGATTTTCCCATCGAGCGCGTGCCTCTCTTGCCCAGTGTACATCGTATGGCGTCCCGCCGGGATCTGACGCTACGACTCTGGACGACTCCATACCACCGCTCTGCTCTCTGTCTCTTTGGTGAGGGGTCTGATATACTCCGGGAGTCGAGGCGGCTGATCGCTTGTTATCCGCCACCGGCGCCCGGTCCGCGGAGGTAGCTGCCGCCGCACGCCAACTTGGTTCTGCTGCTATGTCTTCTCTTCTATAGCTATGTCCTGACCTCAGTCGAAACCTGTCGTTCATCCTAAGTAGGCCTACCGTGGCCGGTAGGCTTTCTTGCTTGTATGTTGAAAGTTCCTAGCACGTCTCGTCACAATAGCTGCACTCAGCTCGACTGACTGAAGAGGACGTGGATTAGAAACCCTTGAATGACTTGCTATGATTGGCTCCTCCACTGGTTGCTTCTCGAGCGGGGTAGGGATAAACTCTTTTGCTTATAGAGGAAACATACAAGCAAGCAACTAATACATCTTCTGGTGCTTGCTTAAGTATGAGCCATGGAGTTACCGTTGCGAGGCAACGGTAGTTATTCGCGAGGCCGCTGAGTTTCCCGCTTGGTACACTGCGGCCTCGGTTCTTCCTTTTTATTCTCGTTACTTCCTTCCTTCCTACTCTACCCTGTTATGCATTCATATTGCTAGTCCTACGTCCTGATCCAATTTAATGCATGACAGATGCAAGAGGCAATGGTAGACTCGAAGAAGGTGGAACACGAGAGCGGAGAACAGGGTGAAACGGACCGTCGGCATGGTAATGAGATGGACGAGGCTCTAGGGACACAGCAGGACTAAGAGGAGGAAGACGAGACCATGGGGATGAGGAAAGTGACGGGTCAGGGAGAACAGAAGGAGACTGCAGGGGGCCACGTACTAAGCGCGCAGGAGCGGGGTCATGAAGCTCCTCCATTCGCTGCTGCTCCGCCTCCTCTGGAATCTGTTGCGGTTGTACTTGATCCTGCTGCTGCTGCTGCGGCTGTGGCTCCCCCCGTACCCTCTCTTGCTCTGGCTGCAACTGTTTGTGCTGCTGCTATGGCTCCTCCTCTACCCTCTCCTGTTGCGGCTGTAACTATTCTTGCTGCTCCGGCTGCTGCTGCGTGTGCCCTCACAAACCTCTCATGTTCCTCCCTCTCCAACTGTAGACGATGCTGCTCACAAGTCAGGTAACATACGGTAGGTTGTGCAGGCGCCGCAGGGTCAGTGCCTCCAGCTCCATCACTCCTAGAACCAGGACGTTCATCAACAACACCTAAGTGCCTCCAGTATCTTCTGCACTAGGACCTCCACCAACAACACTCTCTGTGCCTCCCTTTCGCAGGAACATTCCTCGACTCTGCAGAGACCGGCTGCAGAGATGTTGGCGAATCCTGTAATAACAGACTGACTCGTCAAAAGTGGCATACTCAGAACTGAAGAACCGGTATTGACGCGGGTCGTATAATGCCCAGCCGGAGGGATCCGGAGGGAAACCAAGCAAGACATAGGGCATCGTGCGAGTAGATAGCTTGTTCGCGCCAGGGGCGCAAACGTGAGCCAGAGACGATACTCCGTCACCAAACCTCGAGATCCCCCTGAGAAATATTGGAGTAACGTATGGCCGTGCGTCCCTGGGCCACAGGTTCAGCAAGTAGGAAGCGTAGCAGACTGTCTGGGGCCACAGGAATTGGGGGGTACCGGCATGGCACATGGAGGCCTCGGCAACCTCCATAACTAAGCCAATGCGTTGCTCAGCTACCCTGTTCTGTTGCGGCGATTCAGGTAGTGTGTAAGACTGGGTGATCCCCTGATCCCGACAAAACGCCTCCAGACAAGTGGAAGAAAACTCACCAGCACGGTCGGAGTGGAGGCGAAGCACAAGACGGCCCTGCGTGGCATTCCTTGCAACCACAGCTCTAAGCCTGCTCCGCCCAGGCCTGCCCCACCCAAGCCTACCCCACCCACGCCTGCCCAACGCATGCATGCCCAACCCATGCATGCCCCACCCATGCCTGCCCCACCCATGCCTGCGCCACCCATGCCGGCTCTGCCGCCCTGGGGCTGCGCTTCGTTTGGGGAGAGGAGGGAAAATAAGGGGGGGAGAATGGGGAATGAGGGGGTGAGAAGGGGGAGAATAAGGGGGTTAGAGGGAGGAGAATACGGGAGGGAGAGGGGGGAGAATAAGGGGGTGGGGGGATGGGAGAGAATAAGGGGGAGAGAAGGAGGGGAAGAGGGGGAAGAATAAGGGGGGGGGGAGAGGGGGGAGAATAAGGGGGGGAGAGGAGGGAGAATAGGGGGGGAAGAGGGGTGAGAACAAGGGGGGGAGAGGGGGGAGAATAAGGGGGAGAGAGAAGGGAGAATAAGGGGGGGAGAGGGGGGAGAATAAAGGGTGTAGAGGGGGGGGAATAAGGGGGGAAGAGGGGGGAGAATAAGGAGGGGAGAGGGGAGGGGGGGGAGAATAGGGGGGGGGGGAGAGGAGGGAGAATAAGGGGGGGAGAGGGAGAAGTCGTTGTGTTCTACATCTACCACTGGCTCTGCTGACTGCTCTTCACTTGGGGGAGAGGGGGGGGAGGGGAGGGGGAAGAGGATTGGTAGAGCGCCCCCAACCCTAGGTCAGGATTGTTACTTGCTATGATGCGCGGCTCGTCAATTTTTACTCTGTTAGGTGTTGTTTAGTCAGTTAAGCAGTGTAAGTTGTGTAGCTTGATTGGTTGTTTAGAATGGCTGGTCTATTTGCTTGTTTTGCTAGTTTGCATCTTTGTTTGTGCTTGTGCGTTTGTGTTGGAAGGAGGGGAGGGGGGGGGGGGGGGGGGGGTGCGGAGAGGGGAATGGGGGGTATGTATGTGTGGGTGTGTGTGTGTGCATGCGTGCATATGTGCGTGTGTGTTTGGGTTTGGGCGTGGTCTAGATGCGAGGGAAATCGGGGGATTGGGGCAAATGAAGTGGAGGGGAGTGGGTGGGTCTGGAGACGTGGATGAAATGAGGGGGGCGCGACAAAGTTCAAATTCCAACGGACTGCATTTTTCTGGTCCAGTGCATTTTTCCCACACCCTGTTTGACAAGGTCAACCAATTACACACTACAAAAGTAGTCTACATTGTATTCTGCACTTGGGCAAGAAGAGGAAGAAACAAACTAGGCCTACAAAATCAGGCTGAACAAAAAAATAGGAAGCTATTAAGTGCAATCAGTCCTTTCTACCGTACAATACAAAATAGCCCCCCTGATCCCCACCTTCCCCTCCCCAATGAGGAAACAAGGGCACCCCTCCCTTCATTTCACTGTTTCCTCTCCCATTGTGCTGCTGCACTTCTCCTCAAGATCCTCCTCTCCCTTCTCCTCGCCCTTCCTTTTCCTCGGCCGACCTTCTCGTCCTTCCTCCCCCTCGTGCTTCTTCCTCCTCTTCCTCCTCTCCAGAACATCACTAACGACGGGAAAAGGGCCCCATCCCCAGCTCATGCTCCCCCCACCATCACCCCCCTTCCCCCCAAATAAGCTGCTGCAACCCTCCTCGTCCGCCCTCCTCCACTTCCTCCTCTTACTTCTCCTCATCCCTCCTCGTCATTCTCCTCGGAACCTCTTCAATCAGCTGACTGTCCAGCACAGTGGGTTTCCACATTGCAAGTCCTCTCAAACCCCCCAATGAATCGACCCCAATTGTGTGTTTTGATTGCCAACAGTGCCTGCTCTTCCGTAACCCTTGGCCCCTCTACCTCTCTCTTGCCCCTCTCCCCCTCCCCTGCCCTTCTCCCTCTCCCTCGCCCCTCTCCCCCTCCTCTGCCCCTCTCCCTCGCCCCTCTCCCCCTCCCCCGCCGCTCTCCCCCGCCCCTCCCCCCCCCCCTCTTTCTCCCCTGCCCCTCTCCCCTGACCCTCTTCGTGTCCCCTCTCCAATGCTCCTCTCCCCTGATCCTCTGCTCCTCTGCTATCCAGCTCCACTACTCCTTTCCACTCCCCTTCCAGGCTCTCGTACTCTCAATACCACAGCCCTCTCTTCCAGTTCCGACAGCCTTTGTCGGTGGCGCAAACCAGAGATTCGCCGAAAGAGGAGGATTCTGAAGGCACTGAATACTTTCGGTGGCATTGCTGAGCAGTCAGCAGCATGGTTGCTATTGCTCGAAAGGGCTTGCATCCGCACCTTCCCTTGCTGTCCCTAATGAGGAGAGAAGGGTCCCATCCTCTCATGCTCCTCTTAACGTCACCCCCTTAAATCCCAATTCCGCTGCTGCAATCCTCCTCCTAATCCTCCTAGCTCCTCCTCCTCCTCCTCCTCCTCCTCCTCCTCCTCCTCCTCCTCCTCCTCCTCCTCCTCCTCCTCCTCCTCCTCCTCCTCATCATCATCATCATCATCCTCCTCCTCCTCCTCCTTCTCCCTCCTCCTCCTCCTCCTCCTCCTCCTCCTCCTCCTCCTCCTCCTCCTCCTCCTCCTCCTCCTCCTCGCACTGCTGCTCCTCCTACTCCTCCCCGTGCCCGTACCCATGCTCCTCCCCTTCCCCCTGCTTCCCCTCCCCCTGCTCCTCCCCCTGCTCCTCCCACTCCTCCTCCTCCTCCTCCTCCCTTCTCGTCGTTCCTCCTCCTCTTCTTCTCCTGCCGAACCATTCGAAGCAGCTTAATGTCCAGCACACTGCGCCATGTCTCCTTGATAGCTTCCCCCTTGCCAGCCTTCTCATTCTCCTCTATAAATCGACCCCAGTCGTGTGTTTCGATGGCCAGCCGTGCCTGCTCCTCCGTAACCTCCTGCAGCTTGCCCAACATATCCTTTCCAAGGAACTCCTCATACGGCTTCCTCCACCCACTCAGCAGTTCCGTCCCCCCAGCCCCTGCTATCTAATCCCTCCACTCAAAAATGAACTCAGCGCACAGTATTGCCTTCTTGGCCGCAACAAATGTCTGCTCTGAGTGATCATACCATGTTCCAAGAGAGCGTTTAATGCCATTACAGACAAACACTGCTTGGATCCTCCCGTCCTTGACGCGACAAACATCAAGAAATCGCCACTCATTCAGCAGCATCTCGGCTTCGTGCAGCTGGCGCCAGATTTCGGCGGCTACCTGCTGCCCCTCCTGAAGGCCCCTAATCAGCCGCTCCAACTCCTTGCAGAATTCTTGCAGATGGACCTACCAGCTAGGGGAACCAGTTGCCGACTCCACAGTGCCTGAGCCAGCTGCATCCTGTGCTCCTCCAAACTCATCCTCTGTTGTTGAGCCATCCTCTGCTGTTGCCTCCTCTACTGCTACGGCCTGCTCCGCTGCCAATACCTCCTTTGCCGCCAAGTCCTCCTCTGCTGATGGGGGGAATCGCGTCAGCATGCCTTCCACAAAAGCAACCCACTCATCGCTGCTCGTAATAAGGGCTTTCACGATCTGAGGAAGGTCATTTTCAAACGGCTTCTAAAGCCCACACATGAGAGCCTCTCCCAAGTACAATTGCGGAGTATTTTTGAGAATTCTCAAAATGTTGCACACTATTTTTGAGAATTCTCAAAAATACTCTTCGCTGCTTGTAACAAGGGCTTCCACGATCCGAGGAAGGTCGTTTTCAAATGGCTTCTAAAGCCCACACATGAGAGCCTCTCCCAGGTACAATTGCGGAGTATTTTTTAGAATTCTCAAAATGTTGCAGAGTATTTTTGAGAATTCTCAAAAATACTCTTCGCTGCTCATAACAAGGGCTTCCACGATCCGAGGAAGGTCGTTTTCGAGCGGCTTCTCCAGCCCACACATGAGAGCCTCTCCCAAGTACAATTTGTACAGCGACTCCTCCTGGTCGGCCCTCCTAAACACGTAAAAGGCAAAGAGGGCAGACTGTCTCGCCTTGAAAAGACTCACCATCGACCGGTCGTGCCACCTGCCAATAGGGTGACCCACCTTCGGTGGCCCACTGTAGAAGAATACGACTTAAATTCTCTTGTTGTCGTCAACCAGCTGCACTCCTGTGACTCCACCTTTCCTGATTGGAGTACCTCCACCCCACTAGTGCCGTCTCCTCTTACACCTCCCTCCACGCTTCACACATTAGTTGTGTTCACTAGAATAAAGCGAATCCTGTAGCATCGTCAAATACTCAGAGCTGGCACTCAAATCTTGCTCCAAGTACCCGCATGCGAGCTTCGTCCCCAGTTGCTTGATGGTGGCCGTAAGCTGGTTCACAACGACAACCGGGGGAGTGCAAGCCTCACACGGGGAGGCGAGTGGGCTGCTGTCTCGACACATGCAAAAGCAGCAGAAGTAGTGGTGGCAGCAGCAGCAACAGCAGCAGCAGCAGAACGGGTGGCAGCAACAGCAGCAGCAGCAGCAAAACGGGTGGCAGCAGACACAGCAACAGCAGGAGGAGCAGCAGAAGGAGTTGCAGCAGTAGCAGCAATAGCAGCAGCAGGGGTGGCAGCAGCCGTAGAAGGGGTGGCAGCAGCAGCAGCTGCAGCAGAAGGGGCAGCAGCAGCAGCAGCAATATCAGCAATGCACTGCTGGAACGCTGCCCCTGCAGTTGGGACATCGGTTTGGTAGCGCAATGCTGATGTTAATGCTGCTGCTGTTGCCTCTGCTAATGCTGCCGCCCCTACAAGCAATGCGCTGCTAGACTGCTGCTGCTGCCCCTGCATCTCCTGCAGCAGTGCCTTCAATGTCTGACACCTTGCCTCAAACACTGTGCCCAGCTCCTTTTCCAAAGGCGAGTTGGGAACAACAGCTGCATCAGCAATGCGCTGCTGGATCCCTCCAACAACAGCAGCAGCAGTGGCACCAGCAGCAGCAGTGGCACCACCAGCAGCAGCAACAGGAGCAGCAGAAGGAGCAGCAGGAGCAGCAGCAGCAGCAGCAGCAGCAGCAGCAGCAGGAGAAGCAGCAAGCGCAGAAGGAGCAGCATCAGGAGCAGCAGCGGGAGCAGCAAGAGCAGCAGCAGGAGCAGCGGCAGCAGCACGGGCGGCAGCAGGAGCAGCAGCAGGAGCAGTAGGGGGGGCAGCAACAGTAGTGGCAAATTTGTTCAAGCACTATCAACGCCACAATGCTCCGCGCCTTCTCCGCCTTACGGCGGCCATGGATTTTACCGAGTCAACTACGGTCAACATCCTCGCTACCGTGCCATACGTTTACTTCCGGTGTTGTTAAAAGCATCGTCTGTAACCTTAACAATGGATTACCAGTCATTACTGTTGACCTTGGTATCTCCAGTTATCAGGCGACATCACACGGTTTTCGTCAGGCATTGGCAGGCTCTGTTAAAAACTCGCGTCATGGTCTCAAGGATAGTTTATTCTACAAGTTTTACTGTATCCACTTTTCTATTATCAAGGTTGATGACATCAAGGCGGTGTCCTCGAGATTTCACTATCTCATGCTCGAGACACTTGAACCTGACAAGGCCAAGACATTATTTAATGGCTTTGTGCTTAGACATCAGGCAACAATCTCAGTCTTTGAGGGTGCTCTGCACACTCTCCTGCTGCCTATCTTCTTTCCTCATCATAGCACAATGGCTCATCCTGCTGATGTCCTAGCTCTGCCTAAAGGTCCGCGCTCTCGTCCTGCTCTGGATCCGTCTGCTCCCCTGGGAGGTGATATCTCCAACAGGCTTCAGGCTCCTGCGACCAATGACAATGACAAGGACAAGTCAGCCTCCTCTGCTGCCAGTGGATCTGGACTCTCTGCTGCTGACAAAATCAACATTCCTTCGGTCGGACTCACTGCTGATGACGAATTTCTTGATGATGACTCCGACGACGAGATGGTTATCGATCTAATTAAGGAAGCAGGCTCTGTTTTGCGCTCTGTCGCCATTTTGTTGATTCCTTTTATGCTGCACAAGGAGATATCTTGCGTGATTGAGGCTGTAACGGCACTGATAAAGCACGGGTGGTACGCAGAGTTATCGGATGATGCTGGGACAACTACTAAGTTCCAGGAGCTTCACACGACTTACATTGCCAAGACGCGTTTCTGTCGCCTGCAAGTCTCCTTCGTCAAGGAATCAGATGCGGAATGGGTTCGGAAGAAGGAAGTCACTTATCAACCGCTTAAGAACCAAGGTCAACTCATCACGCTACATTGGCAACACACTGAGGACTCGTCCTATGCTCGCGAGAAGGCATTGAATCCGCACGCTATCGAATTTATGGTCACTGATGTCTCTGCTGCTGTTGAGCTGATCCTGATCCACGATCGCATGGCTACCTACCCGCTTACCAGTACCAAGCGATCAGCGTTTTTGCGGTGTACCTGTCTGCATCGAGTGCTTCACCCCATCACTGGCGCTGATACTCACGTGGTGAAAGGGCTAGTTTATGCTCACCCTGGGAGTGCCAACCGCCGTTGGATCCACACGATTGTTGATCCTGCCGACCGGTCGAAGAAGCTCCTGGTCCATTACCCGTCCTTATCCTGCTCGCTCTGTGGTGGCAAGCATTACGATAAGTATCATGATGCTTTTGTCACTGAGCGTCAGAATAATGTCAATAAATGGAACCTCATGTCAGAGGTCCACTGGAGATCCCCGATTGATCCTAGGGAAGGGTTACAGGCACGTTGGCCTGGGGGGTTATGGGCGCACTGACCCGCTACTTAACAAGCCTTTTTATCCCAATGGTCTAGTGGTTGGGATTCTGACATGGTATCAGAGTGAAGGTCTCGGGTTCGAATCCCAATGTGTGCACCTCGGGCATCTCAGTGCGGGGGGGTGTCAGAGGTCCACTGGAGATCCCCGATTGATCCTAGGGAAGGGTTACAGGCACGTTGGCCTGGGGGGTTATGGACGCACTGACCCGCTACTTAAGAAGCCATTTTATCCCAATGGTCTAGTGGTTGGGATTCTGACACCTCACTCTTGGCAAAGCGCACAGGCTTAACGGTAAAGGCAGCAGTCAGCCTTACATTTGCTTTCCGCTTCATCTCTCTCCTTCACGCACTAACCTGTTCTTGGAACCTCGCAGCTGCGTCGCTGAAAGCGTCATCCCTCTTCCTTCCCATCCTCCGAGACCCGGCCATTGCTCTTGTTTCCACCGGCAGCAGCAGGGAAGAATAGATCTGCACGTAACTGGGATGCGGGAAGGCAAAGGGGAAGAGCCTTATGGTGACGGCAAGTCATATCTCTGCAGCTGCTCACCTGTTAGAGCTGTCGAAGGCAGGTTCCGCTACGAAGACGTCTCTCGACAAACTGAAATTAGACACCATCCGCAAAGACTATGGCATGTGACGGAGTCAGAGCGTTACCTGGGTGCAGCCGCTTGTTGGTGTTTAGGAGTTAGCGTCGCCTATACTGTTTCACTTATCAGCCTGTGGATGATCAGGGGCTGCAAGCTAGTATACCCATGAATATAAAAAACCATCTCAACTTCTCCAGCCTGAGCGTTAACGGTTTAGGCAGCAACAACACCAAGTAGGATAGAGTTAGAACATGGTTCACATCAGGCTCAGACATAGCAGTTTTAGTAGACACGAGACTAGACCCAAGCCACCCGTACTGGACCTCACTCTCAGCCACGTCATTTATAGCTACAGCTTCTAGGACCAGCGCTGGAGGAGTAGCAGTCCTCAGCGGAAACCCCGCTATTACCTTTCATAACTCATTAGCTCACCCATCTGGTAGGATCGTCCAAACCATTGTCAGAGGCCTTGGTATTGACCTGGTTCTCCTTGCCGTGTACTTCCCATCCAGCATCCCAACCAGAACCGCTTTCTTCAGAGACACGTTTGGTCCTCTCCTAGACAGTGTCTCACCTTCGGAACACCTCCTGTTGATCGGCGATCTGAACATCATTGAGAACCCACTGTTAGACAATTCCAGAGGTCACAGCAAAGCCTAGAAAACGAACGCTTCTTCCACCACTGCGCTGCATTTCAACTGTCAGATGCCTTTAGAATATTACACCCAGGTTGTAGAGAATACACTTTCTTTGCCAAAAGCCACAGAGTTAGCACCCGCATTGATCGAGCCTTAATCTCCCAATCCCTTATCCCTTACCTCTCTTACTCTGCACATATCATGCCAGACAACCCCATCTTAGACCATGGTTACGCGATCTCGATTGCTCTTCGCCTTGATGAGGAGCACTGCAGGGGTCCGAGGCTATGGCGCTTACACGCCTCAATGATTCACCGGCCGGGCGTTCGGAAGATCATTGAAGCAACAGTGCGGCGCACCCCAGTGAACGACGGTTGCAGTTTTGAGTTACTCCTGAAAAGGTTGGGGGCTAGGCTCAGAACCTATGCAAAGGAGGAGAGCAAAAGGGTGAAGGAAACATTGCAGCATCTGACCAGCACCGTGGCTCTGCTGAAGCAGGAGATGATGCGAAATCCAGACTGTACGGTCACGAGAACATTGCTGGAGGCGAGGGAGACGAAGCTGAAAGAATATAACACCTCACGTACTGAGAGACTGTATCTTCAGGCTGGACTTACGGCGGAACTCACCGGGGAGCTCGCCTCAAAGCACCTGTTGGCGAAGGTTCGGGCGCGGAAAGCTCGCACTCAGATCAAGGAGCTTAAAGTTGGTGCAGGAAGGGTGACTGGCTCACAGCAGATCTTGGATGTAGCCTCCGCCTTCTTCAGGAACATCTTCGGCAAAGATCGCCGTACTGATTTCTCCGACTGGAACCTCACCTCACTTCAGCGGCTAGACGGCGCGGTGGCAGAAATTCTTTCGGCCGACTGGACTGAGCAGGAGGTTAAAAGGGCGTTCGCCGCGATGGCAAAGAACAAATCACCCGGCAGCAACGGTTTGCCAAAAGAATTGTTCGAAGCTCATTGGGATCTGCTGGGGGGGAGCTTCATGGCCATGGTGAGGAGTTTTGAGGCATCTGCCACCCTGCCATCGAAAACCAAGGAAGCGGTTACCATATTGTTACACAAGAAGGGGGAGAAAGACGAGCTCAACAACTATCGCCCGATCACCTTGCTTAATTTCACTTACAAAGTCCTGGCGAGAGTGGTGGCGGACAGGATAAAGTCGGTGCTGCACCTGGTCATCTCCCCGGAGCAGTACGGCTTTATGCCGGGGCGGCGCCTCTCTGATGCGGTGCCTCTGGTGGCTGATGTAATCGATGCTGCAAAAAATGGCAATGAGGACTGGTATCTTCTCTTGGTGGACTTCCAGAAAGCCTTCGACTCGGTGTCGAGGGATTTCTTGTTTGAAGTCTTGTCCCAAATGGGTTTTCCGGAACGCTTCGTCGGCTGGATCAGAGGCCTGCATGATAACACATCAACGAAGTTGCTGGTCAACGGGTGGCTGGGGAAGGGAGTGGAAGTGGTGTCAGGCGTGCGGCAAGGCTGCCCGCTGGCTCCGTACCTCTTCCTCTGTGCGGTTGAGCCCTTGGCGCGGGAAGTGGAAAGACAAGAACTCGGGCTGTCCAAACAGGGCATGCGTTTCAACTACCTCGGTTACGCCGACGACACGACGTTAGCCCTGCAAGGAGAGGAACAAATCGTTAAGGTGGAGAAGGTGCTGGATAGCTTTGAAAAGGTGTCGGGACTGGCAACTAATAAATCGAAGTCGGTGCTGTTGCCTCTTGGAGCGAACCTGGGTGCGAAAGGCGATGGTTCGAGCTGCTTCAAATGGGCTGACGCGGACGAAGCAGAGCGCCTGTTGGGAGTCTGGGTGACGCCCTCTGGCAGCGGTTTGCCAACCTGGGAGAAGGCATGGACGCACATAATGGAGAAATTAACTAAGTGGCAGCTGAAGTATCTCACATTATCGGCCATGGCTACGGTTGTCGACAGCTACATCACCCCCTTAGTGACATTTCAGGCGCAAGTTTACCCCCCACCTGCGGAAATCTGGGAGGAGATCATCAGACTATTACAAGGCTTCCTGTCGGGTAACCGGGTGGCGACAGTGAAGGGTTTCATTATCTGGAGCAAAACGTTGTTGTACACTCCAAGGGAGTCAGGAGGCTTCAGGGTGAAGGATCCGGAGATTATGATCACCTGCCTTGCCGCCAGGAGAGTGGGACTCTATCTTACGGAGCGGAATCCTCTGAAAAAGGAGATCATGAGGCAGGCGGCCGATCTGCCCCTGGGCGATGACAATTTCTCTTCGCACGCAACCCTGCTGAAACACTGGGAAGGGAGGAGCGCAAGATGGAAGCAGACATGTGAGAATTTTATCAATTCACTGCTCTACACCCGACCTGCGGCAGACAGCAGAGAGGCGGTACTGAGGGAACGGCTGGTTTTTAACGGAGCATCGTTGCTACGGACACCTATCGGTGGGCAAAAGGATAGTAAGGGTTTATGGAAGGTGCGTGTCGGCGAGCTGCTGGAGACGGATGGCAGCGGAGAATTCGTGCTCAAACAACAGAGGTCGCTGTCGCAACAGCTTGGCGGAAGCGGCCCTGCAAGGTTAGAGGTGAAGGCGCCGCTCACCCTGCCAGCGTCGTGGCTGCAGTTGCTGGGTTTTGCTTCAGTCCCCCCGTGCTCGGCTGACTCTAACCCCAAGCTGAACATTTTGGAGGGAGGGGAGGTGATTTCCATCAGGAGAATGAGGGAGTGCTGGAAAGGGGCATACCAGGAGTCGAGCAAACGGGAGAAGTGGGTGAGAAGATGGGGGAGGTCGATCAATTGGAAGCGGGTGGTTACGACACGAGACTCACTCGCGGTGCCCAGCAGTCCACGTGACGTTCTCATCCGCATCCACGGCCTGAATCTGCAGGTGGGGGAGCGGCTTGCATTCCTCAGCGGGAAACCGGTTTGTCCTTACTGTGGTGGAGAGGAGACCTTGGACCACTGCCTCCTCCTCTGCCCTCGGATATAGACTGTGACCTCGACCCTCGGGCGTGCTCTGCGCATGATAAATCCCAACCGCTCAGTTGACACGCTTGGTGACTTACTGTTCCGGAAAACGGGGTCCAGCTCAGCTTTTCTGGAGCTAACCCTCACATCCATCGCCTTCCATCAGCTGTGGGTCGAAAGATGTGAAGCTGTTTTTCGCGAGCAGAAATTCCGCACGAATCGAGTACTTCACAAGATCGAATTCGCGTTCAGGCAACATGCACGAATCTACACCCGCAAGTTCGGCGCAACTTGCCATAAACGGCATCGGAAGAACTTTACGGAGGAGCAGAAACTTCTGGGGAAGATCAAGGTGGCCGGCATGAGTTGGAAGTGGACAAGTGCGTTCGCCGCACTGTGGTCCAAGAGGAGGGCAAGCATCTCCCGCCCTTAGAATGTCCCATCTGGAACAGTAGCTCACCCTCTGTTCCTCACGCGCGGTTACGACCGTTATGGGGATATATGCTTGCTCATTCGGTGTATATCTTTTCATATAATAATTAAAAAAAAAACAACAGTAGTGGCCGCACGAGCAGTAGCAGGAGCAGTACAGGGAGCAGTAGTGGCAGCACGAGTAGTCGAAGGAGCAGTATGGGGAGCGGTAGCAGGAGTAGTACAGATAGCAATAGGGAAAGCACGTTCGACATCCTCCATGGCCAATGGTACGGAAGACTTGCCAGCACCAACAGCAGCAGCAAACGAAGTGTGCTTTTGGGATGAGGAAACAGGAAGAACAAAAGTCACAACAAGATCAGCAGTAGTCGCAGCAAGAGCAGTCGAAGGAGCAGTATGGGGAGTGGCAGAAGGAGCAGCACCGGCAGGAGTAAAAAGAATCCCTATGCTTCCCCCAGTTCTCTCTACGCTGGCCCCCACACTTCCCCCGCTGCGCCCGCCTTCCACCTTCTCCGCTCCACCGTCATCCGCTACACCAGTTGCTCTCCCACTCGTTCCAGGGCTGCTGCCACTGCCGCCAACCAACTCCCCTTCCACCCTGCTTGGGCCACTCTCGTCCGCTCTGTGCCCGTGCGGCAGTTTCCTCTACTTCGTCGCCTCATAGACATCCACCGACGGCAGGGCCCCTGTTGCTGCTGCTGGGCAAGTGGGCGGTGCAGCCTGTGCGGGTCCGGCTGCAGCTGTCGCGTCTGCTACTGCTGCTGGAGCTGCTGCTCGTGAGGCACCTCCTTCTGCCATAGCAGCAGCACGAGAGTTCAGAGGGCTGGCAGAGCGCAGAAGAGGCTCAGCAGCAGCCCAAGCACTCAACCCTACAGCTGTGCTGCTGTCACAAGCCTGTGCTCCACGCCGCTCCTCCTGCTGCCACGTGCCATCTGACCAGCATGCATCCTCCTGCTGAGTTGCTGCTGCTGCTGCTGCTGCTGCTGCGTGTGTTGCAGATGCTGCATATGCTTCCATGACTTCTGCTACCACTTCCTGTCCTGATGCTTCTGCCGCCGCTGCAGCAGAGGCAGCAGCACCAGTACCACCAGCAGCACCAGCAGCACCAGCAGAAGCAGAAGCAGCAGACGAGGCAGCGACGCGGTCCCTCCCCCTGCCGGCCTTCCTCCTCCGTCTCTCCGCCTCTTCCGCCACGGCAAGGCGCAGGTTCAGTGCATGCAACTGCTTCAGCAATGCCTCTTTCCCCGCCCTCAACTCGAGCAGGGACTCATGCTCCTGGCCTGCCCCACCCCCCATCCGTCCCTCCTCCTCCCACCCAACCACACTCACTCCCACTCCATCTCCCTTGGCCGCTCGCTCAAACCCTTTCCTCTCCTCCTCCTCCCTCCTATTTTCTTCCTCTCTGATCTTCTCCTTCTCTCTCCTCTTCTCCTTGTCTCTTTTCTTCTCTTCCTCTCTCCTCTTCTCCTCCTCTCTCCTCTCCTCGTCATCTCTCCTTTCTCCTCCTCTCTCCTCTCCTCCTCCTCTCTCCTCTCCTCCTCCTCCTCCTCTCTCCTTTTCTTCTCCTCTCTCCTCTCCTCCTCCTCTCTCCTCTCCTCCTCCTCTCTCCTCTCCTCCTCATCTCTCCTCTTCTCCTCCTCTCTCCTCTCCTCCTCCTCTCTCCTCTTCTCATCTCTCCTCTTCTCCTCTCTCCTCTTCTCCTCATCTCTTGTCTTCTCCTCTCTCGTCTTCTTCTCCTCTCTCCTCTTCAACGCAATGAGTATCAACCTCTCCTCCACGTCCGACTCAGAGCAGCTATTGTCCTCCCCATCACCACTCTCCGCCACTTTCCACCTGCCATCGGGAAACACTTCCACCTCGCTGTCCTCCTCACTTGTTTCTGTCGTGAAACTAACACAATAGGTAGTTAGGAGAATAGTTCGGCCTAGGCTTAGTAGCCTAGGCCAAGGAGGATCGAGTTGGTTGTGCCAAGGGTGTCGAGAGAATTTCGGGAAGAATGTGGTGTTCACTATAGATTTGCAATCACATATATGCAAGTGAACAAAGGTGCACCACCTAACACAGTTTGTAATAACTACACTAACTACAGCTACAGGCAGTTACAGATATAAACTCTGACACTCCCCCATAACTGCCTGCAGCAGGTGTTTGTGCAGAACACAACCTGCAGGGGTACACAAATAGCAGCAGCAGCAGGTAGGTAGGTAGGTAGTACAGCAGCAAAGGTACAGCAAGAATTCCTGCTATCTCCTCACCCTCCCCCTCCCCCTCCCCCTCCCCCCCACACTGCTGCAGAAGCAGCAGAGGGGGGGAAGAGAGGAGAGGTGGAGGGACGGCTGCTGGATGGTCTCACACCCGCCACCCCAGTGCCACTCCCCCAGCTCCCCCACACCCTCACACCCTCCCCCCAGCGGCAACTGCAGCAGCGGGAAAGAAAGGAGGAGGAGGAGGGGAAGGGAAGTTGGTCTCACACCCGCCATCCCAATGCGACTCCCCCAGCTCCCCCACACCCTCACACCCTCTCCCCAGCGGCAGCTGCAGCAGTGGGAAAGAAAGGAGGAGGAGGGGAAGGGAAGCATACCACCCATCACCCCAACACCCGCCACCCCCATACCCTCCCCCCCACGGCTGCAGGGAAACGAAGGAGGAGGGGGTGGGCGGGGAGAAAGCCGCAGAGCGGCTACTGATGGTTGGCGCGGGTAGGTCAGGGGCGGCTTCAGGGAGTGTAGGTGCGGGGTGAGGTTGTGGCGGCTGCACCGAGTGCAGGAGCGAGGGCGACTACTCCAAGGGCAGGCGCCGGGTGATGCAGGGGCGGCTGCAGCAAGTGCAGGCGCGAGTGAGACACCGCCGAGTGCGCCACGGGTGGGTACACGGCGGCTCAGGTAGGTAGGTAGGTAGTGCACCGTCGCACGCCACGGGGCGCACGACGGGCAGGGCACCGTCGCGTGCCATGGGGCGTACGACGGGCAGGGCACCGTCGTGTGCCACGGGGCACGCGACGGGCAGTTCAGGTAGGTAGGTAGTTTAGTTCCCCGTCGCACGCCACGGGGCGCACGACGGGCAGGGTAGATGTCACTCGCCATCCTAGGGCGGGACATTAATGAGAAATCGCCACGCGACCTAGGCGCGCGACCGGCAAAGAACAGCAGCGGAAGCATACGGCGGGCCCACAGGCCAGGACGAAACTTGCTCTGATAGCATGTCGTGAAACTAACACAATAGGTAGTTAGGAGAATAGTTCGGCCTAGGCTTAGTAGCCTAGGCCAAGGAGGATCGAGTTGGTTGTGCCAAGGGTGTCGAGAGAATTTCGGGAAGAATGTGGTGTTCACTATAGATTTGCAATCACATATATGCAAGTGAACAAAGGTGCACCACCTAACACAGTTTGTAATAACTACACTAACTACAGCTACAGGCAGTTACAGATATAAACTCTGACAGTTTCTTCAAGAATATTTTGCACTGTTGGGAGAGCGGTGGGGTGCAGTGTATTGCGGTGAAGGGGGGCGGAGGAGAAGGCGGAAGAAAAAGAGGGGAAAGGATGAACTATCAGTCCCGCTTCCGCTCACCATCCGCCTATACCTGCCACCAAAAAACAGCTACACCTTCCCGTCCTCTTCCTTTTTCCTCCAGATTTTTTTTTGCAATGTTGGGCAGGGAGGGGGAAACGTGGGGAAAGTGGAGGAGGAAGAGAAGGAAGAGGGGAACGGATGAGAGACACAGGGAGTTAGTGAGCAGAAGCCCCATTACCACCCTCCACCCTTTTCCACCTTCCATCTGAAAGAACCTCCACTTCATCTGAAAACACAGATTTGGGAGAGCGAGTGGAACACCTCCCACTCGTCATACTTGTTACTTAAAGCATCGTTTGCACTGGCTGGGTGCAGGATGGTGGATTCTGGTGCTATGGAGTGCAGTGAGGAGCGATGGGTTGTAGTGGGGTGAAGTGTGGTGCAGTGTGCTCTCATATGTGTACTCACTGAATCCATCCAGAAACATCTCGGACCACGGCAGAGGCTGGTAGCAAATAGGGCAGAGCCACGCCACCCCGTCTTGTCGTTCCTAGCCAAGCCTTGGTTCATGTGAAGGTAAGACGTGAGATCAAACGTGCTCTCGTGGGAGCACTTGTTGCCGCGCACTGGCAACTGCAGCGGGAGAACGGGGATGGAAGACAAACCAGAATAACTTGTTGACTCTCAAGCATCGGTACGATAGCTCTTGCGAAAAAACATTGCTGTGCATCGATACCTGCAGAAGGAGAGGGGGGGTGGGAGAATCAGCATGGATTCGGAATCTCAAGACTTGGTTCAGGAGGAGGTATAATGTCAACTCGAAACGCGCCCTCATAACGGGGAGCAAAGGAGTGCACTTTGCCTGCCTTACAATAGCAGCTAGATAAACGAGCAGGTGATGAGAATACGATTGAAACATGAAAGGTCCACGTTCAGGTGGAACGAGGTGCGAAACATGATGAGTAGTAGCAGTGGCAGTGGGAGGGGGGGGAGGTGGGGGAGGACAAGAGGAAAGTTGAGGAGGAAAAAGAGGAGGGCAGGGATTGACTAAGGATCTGACCTCAATGCGTCTGAGGGAGAGAGGGCACTTGAGGCTGGTCACACAAGCTTGCATGTCAACGCCATCCTCCCTCAACTGCACCGCTGAGTTCCTCACGATCTCCGCCACCACCACCTCGCTCGTCTGCACCTTCCTCGTTAGCATCACCTCTTTCCGTGTGTAAAAGGGGGAAGGTGGGGGAAGAGGAGGGAACTTGCGGGTTACTCTAGAGTTAATTCTCATCCTCACTCTCCCACACCCACTCCCTCACCCGCTACAGCCCATCACACTCCCTCACCTGCTACAGCCCATCACACTCCCTCACCCGCTACAGCCCATCACACTCCCTCACCCGCTACAGCCCATCACACTCCCTCACCTGCTACAGCCCATCACACACTCCCTCACCCGCTACAGCCCATCACACTCCCTCACCCACTACAGCCCATCCAGCTCCCTCACCCACTACAGCCAATACGCATCATAAAGAAAAGAACTCACCAGCTGCTTGATGTCTTTTTCCGTGAGCATCATAGTGAGCACCTCGGGCGGGTCATACGGCACCACCCGCTCCACCCAGCATAGCTCCACATCCCCCCTCCCACACACCTCCCCCTCGTCATCACACATCTTCCCCAGACTCTCCTGACACTTCTTCGAAAAACGCGGGCAGCAGGCGAACCACAGCCAGGATCGTCTCAAAGAGCGCTTCCTTTACTGCTCTCTCCTCCGCCTCCTTGCCCTGAAACGGATCGTGCTCGTGGGGGCCCAGCCGCCCTTCGACCTTTTTCAACCACCACGTGATCAGCTCCTGCAGTTGCATCTTCAGCAGGTCCCCATGATGCGCTGCTGCCTTCCGCCTCTGCGACTTCGCCTCCCTTTGATCCTTCTCCCATTTCGCCATAACGTTCTCCCCTCCCGCATCACAAAAATCATATGACCAGAAACCTATTGTAAAAAGTTGTGGTGAAGTATTTTCAAATGCTTTTAAAACGTAGGGGCCAAAACGCTTTTCGGTGAAAGTATAAACATTTTTTCGAATGCTTTATCGAATGCTTTGCAGGTGATGACATGTTTGTATTACCTTCAGATTAGGGTCTGTCTGAGTTTCTTCGGAGATGTATAAGACTTCGTTCGGAGAGTTCAGGGAGATTACTTTCCACTCATATACTCTTTAGCAGAGCTTAGGACCAAAGTTCAAGAAGATTGTATATGAACCTTTATCAAGTGATTCTCGTTGTTTGATGGAAGGTCTATTAGCCATTCTTAGGTGTACACGCACATCATGAATGCATTGCTCAATGATTATTAATCTCATTACAGAGTTGGCTTGGCACACAAAACAGCTGCCTAAACACGCGTTGCGTAGTCCTGCTAGGGTGGATTAATCTGCACCATCCTCCTACCTACTTCGCAAGCCATCATCGGATGCAGCCCCGCCCCATCTCTCCAGCTCTTGGCCTAGAGAGTTCTTGACTACAGATACTGCTCCATCTAATGCTAACCTGCACGGCTACACACTTCCTGTCTCCTCTCTTGCTTATACTCCTGTCCCCTTGCTGTCTCCACGCTGCTGCCCCCTATGCGGTCTCCTCTCATGCCTGCTCCTGCTGCTCCACATTGGGCCTCTCCTGGAACTCCCCTCTTACCTCCCGGCCTCCCCCCCCTGATGCTACTCATGCTGCCTCCACTGCTCCTCCACTACTGCCTCACATGCTGCCTCCACTGCTCCTCCGCCACCCAGGCAACCTGCAAAACGGTCGCATATTAAATATGCACTCCTCTCCTACTGCCACGGGATGTTGCCTCCCCCCTGCTGCCATTCAATGTTGCCTCCCAAGCTGCCTCCCTTTGTTGTCTCCCCTGCTGCCATTCTAGTTGCCTCCCATGCTGCCTCTCTCTGTTGCCTACCCTGCTGCTGTTCAATGTTGCCTCCCCTACCGCCTCCCTTTGTTGCCTCCCCTGCCCCTTTGTTGCCTCCCCTGCTGCCATTCTATGTTGCCTCCCATGCTGCCTCTCTCTGTTGTCTCGCCTGCTGCCATTCTATGTTGCCTCCCCTACTCCCTCTCTCTGTTGCCTACCCTGCTGCTATTTAATGTTGCCTCCCCTGCTGCCTCCCTTTGTTGCCTCCCCTGCTGCCATTCTATGTTGCCTCCCATTCTGCCTCTCTGTTGCCTCCCCTGCTGTCATTCTATGTTGCCTTCCCTG